TAGAGGCAGGCTAATCCTCGATGCGTAATCGATGTATTTGATATATCCAGTACTTCCAAGTGCGGGTAATCGCCACCAGAAATGCGATCCAAGCACCAGTCATCGAATGGCTTTACGTTGTGCAGGGATAGAAATTTAAGATGCTCCAAACTCCGTAAATTCTCCAAGCCCTCGTAGTACAACTGCATGTTATCGCAGCGAAGCGCTTCGAGCTTATAATTAGCATTAAATTTATTTGGCAAATTAAATTCTCCATCCTCTGAAGCGCGATGCCACCGCTTGTCGTTTAAGAACTTGGCTGCACCTCCTCGATAAAGTACGAAATGGGCCGCGGCCAATTCGGGCCCGAGAATCTTRTGGCGTTCGGGCACATATTGTTGCATATGTCGTTCGATTCGCTCCTGGCGTTTGGTCCACCATTTCTTTATGCTCTTCGGACTCAGATCGATGGGCCGTTGCATCATGACAATGAAATCTGATGTTTGCTCTGAATTGGCGAACAGTTTCAATTTGCTATTCCAGTCCTCGGGACGATCWCCGATCGGAGTTCTCCAACTRAGTTKTTGTTTGTCTTGTGCRATCTGCTGACGAATCCTTTTTACAGTGGCACTCACTTCTTCYTCTGAATTGTGGCTGGGCAATGTGCTCGTATAGCGATACGCAAGGTGGGCACCTGRCTGCAGYCTTCTTAATCGCATTGACAAATACATAACTRGATTATTWAACAAATTTTGTTGTAGTCAATTCAACAATAATATTCCGAAAAACTACTTGCACAAAACGTAGTCAGCTGAGTGAACAGCTGGATCTTAACTTTCAAATGATGTGGCAACGTCTAGCAGACGCCATTTTTTCCTGTCTTATGCAGCCCTGGCCGACTGCGTGAAAAAACGTTTGTGCTATTGCAAACGTTTGTAATCATTTTTAATAAGAAAAAMTTGTACAATTCCACCGAAAACTCAACTGAAGGTCACATAAATGTGCAGAAAGTGCTCGCCAATCATTTTGGCATAAAGCGTGCAGGAAGTTTGCATTCAAGCTGCTGGAAATTTGCTGGTGAATCAGCATCTATACGCGGAGGCAAAGGCAGCGTCTTCTAATTAATATCTACACGCGAATCAAAACGCAATATGGTTAATACATCTGGCAGTGAAGATGGTCAGCTGCGCAGCCCCAATGAYGGACACTATATCAGGTGTGTAAAATGTTATATATATTATACATATGTATGTATATGTATACATATATTGAAAAGCACATCAAATTGTTGCTGCATACACATACATACGCACGCACGGAGAACACGAATACATTCACATGCATGCGCGCGTGTTGCTATGTGTGTTTGTGTGTGTGTGTGGGAGCTACCGTATTAAGTGCGACCACTAAACCAATTTTCTATTTGAAAGCGTTATTTTCTGATGTTTATTTACGAACAAAAAAAAAAAAAAATGAAAAACTTTAAAACATAACATTCATGTAAACAAAAAACACACGATTTACTGATCAAGAGGTGGCGCATTCAGCAAGTCCGCTTGTCTGCGTACAAAGAAAACAAAGACAATGATTCCAATTTCGATTTATGTAGCTCTCGAAAGTAATTTCTGTGACGTACACAGAAAAAAAAATTTACATTTGCAACACCTGTAGATCAGTCAATAGTGTACGTTCTCACACCTACATATCCTTTTTTTCGCTTGCTTATCATATGTACAGTATATAATGTACAAATTTGCATCCCGTATACTCTGCTACCCAAATGTTAAACAATAACAACCAAAAATAAATCCAATTTATTGACATTACCATAATTTTTGCATATGTACCGTTTAATTGACTTGAGTTTTTTCGTTGCAAATAGGCCAAAAAGTGTGTACTTGTCCCAAAATGACCGAGGCGCGCGATGGCCAACAACTAAAACTAAACTTAAAATAAAAACAAAAATAAATACAAAAAACAAAAAATTACAAATAATTATAAAAAATGAACGCAAGATATGAAATTCAAATTTAAAGTGTGCCCAGCAGCTCAAGTGTGTAAAATGGCAAATCCACAGCGAACAGCAGGCCCAGGATATGGCCAACTTCTCAAACCCAATATGAAATGACTCAAGAAAATGCCTTTAAATGGCACAAAGACAGACGAGAGAGAGTGAAGATCGTAAGGTCTGGCGGTAAATCGAATACAACTTTCTGTTCAATAACAATGCTAATGCCTTTCCAAGTCCTGTTATCTATATACGCATTCTTATACATATATAGATCTCTAAATCTTTGTCTTTTGTCCCACGCATTTCAAAAAAAAAGTTTTTAAATATATTTCTAGCAGAGTTTGCAGTCGTAAGTTTACATTTTACAGCCCATCGGAATTTCAACTCAATGCCCCAAGGGAATTGTTTGTTAACCAATTGCCAATGTTCAAATGGGGTTGGCCGGACAGGTAAGTACATAAAACAGTGGAATCTTGAATAACTCATTATTATGCCATGTTTAATATGAATAATATTAATTTCTTCAACTTTTTACCAACTTATGGCGGATATAGTAAATGGTTAAAAGGTTTGACTTCTTAAGCGAACATGATGAATCTGGGATCTCTTCAAGCTGAAACTTCACTGATATATTGAAGAAGAATTTTTACAGTGCTTGAAGCATTTTAATTTCATCCGTAGCCAATGTATTATTAGCCATTATTATTAGTATCTTTCATCTCGATTTTTAGATATATTTATATATATATTTCATATGTCTGCTTWATGTATTTAAACTKCTTGGTCTTTATTCCTTAACTTTTAAATGTTCAACAAGATGTTTCACAATATATCTATTAAATCCCTTAGGTTTCGTAGGTAAGATCTGTAATATGAGTATTATTCAAGGATTCCACTGTATTAATATATACAACTAATGAATGCACATCTACAACTTCGTATTATTTGCTAATATACTACACCGCAAGTTGTTTATTGTTTTTCTTTGATTATTGTCAATTTCCACCCAATGTTCAAGCAGTAATGCGCTCTTCCATTATTGGGGCCTTGAGACTTGAAGCTGAGCTGGGCAACGTAAAATGTAATCAACGACTAGCAAAGCACTGCAACAACATCAGTCAATCGACAACAACTTGAGTGACAAGAACAGCAAACAGTGTCAGAGCGCGCCTCGTGGCATCTTCTTCAATTCAGAAACTGGTTGCACACTTTCGGGAAAAACAACGATAAATTCAATAATTCATGCAATTGGCGTCAAAGTTTGTGTAAAATGTATTTTGTCTTTTCTCTTTTAGCGGCGAAGATGACCACGACGCTGATGCCCTTTACATACAACCGCCACAGGCTGTCAGCAGTCAGGGACGAGACGCTGCGAGTTCGCGGCGAGAGAAGAAAAAGCATTCACGGGACCGGCGCCACAAGGAGCGCAGCAGYCTGGAGGARCGGGAGCGAGAACGTGAACGAGAGCGGGAGCGTGAAAGGGAGCGCTATGAGTATCGAGGATCTCGTGAGGATCTGGAACAACGTTATCATCAGCACCATCAACAGCATCGCAGTGAACGAGCCAAACATCATCTGAGCCACGCCTATCAATATCAGCAACAGCTCCCCTTGCCGCCGCCTCCCCAGAGCTATGTCCATCACCATCATCATCAACAGCAATTAATGAGCTTATCCCGTGCTGGGGCGCGTGCCGAATACTATCATAGCAGCCGGCATATCAATTACGTAGAAGTGGAGCAGCCGCCGTTACCATCTCAGCGTCGCTCCAGCAAACATAGCTACGAGCAGCCGAAGGATGCTGAGAGCTTGGAACAGGATCTGCGCTCACGACTGCTCAGCAAGCGGCACAAATACGTTAAAGACTATGAGATGGAGGAAAACTACGAGCAACAACATTCACATAGTCGCCGCAAGGAGCGGGAATCTCGGCACAGCAGCCACAGTCACAAACTGCGCCACGGTCAGGTCATCGAGCTGCTGGACAGTCCCGAGTCAGGAGCAGTGCCGCATCAGTCACATCATCGTAGCAAGCAAAGACGTGCTGAGATCGAGGAAGCCGCCGATCCTGTGCAACATCATCGCACAGTTTCTACTGATCCAGAGCTGCTGGCACGACGAGAGAAAATCTTGGCTGCCGAGCGTGAGAATCGCAAGCGCAAGCAAATTGCACGCGAGGAGCTGGAGGCGCGTCGGGAGCAACTGCTACGTGAACGCAATGAGCACAGCGATGCACTCAGTCCCAGCGCTGTGGCAGCCAGTGTAACCGCTGGGCTTAATCCTGTCAAGCGCAAGCAAAAAATGAAACTAGAAGAGGAGYMCTACGAGCATCGAAAACGAAGCAAGCAGCAGTCGGGYGAGGAAAACAAGCGGCAAGAGAAGCCAGCCGAAGATGGCACCGAAGAGAGCGACGACAGTGACTCCGATGAGGAGGACGAAGACGAGGACAGTGGCAGCGAGGAGAGTGCCAGCGACTCGGCAGAGAGTGCTGAGAGCAGCTACGAACAGCAGCCACACAAGAAAAACAAGAGAAAAAACCCCCAACCCGACGATGATGACGATGTGCCACTGCCAGATAGTCCACTGAGTGTGGGCGCTCTTTACAAGTCGCCGAAGCAAAGACCTCGCTCACGCTCCGCCAGCTCCAAGAGCTCGGCGCATAGCCACAGCAGTGCAGCCAGCAGCAAGAGTCGTCACAGCAGTCGAAGTCATAGCAGTCGCAGTCGATCCCGTTCCCGWTCGCCWATCAGTAGCGGGGAGGASCAACAGCGCTCACGTAGCAGCAGCACGCGCAGCGAGGAGCGCGGYATGGCCCAACAGCAGCASCAACAGCAGCCGCAGCCGCTGGATAGTAGTGAGACCAGCACTGAAGAGAAGTTGTCAAAGGCACCTGTTGAGGATTTGCCGCCATGTGATGACAAGGGTGTGCCGCTGCCCAACTATTATCCGGGCGTGCAGGGCTGCCGTTCGGTAGAAGAGTTCCAGTGCCTCAATCGCATCGAGGAGGGCACCTACGGCGTTGTCTACCGCGCCAAGGACAAACGCACCAACGAAATAGTCGCCTTGAAGCGTCTGAAAATGGAAAAGGAGAAGGAAGGCTTTCCCATAACATCGCTTCGAGAGATCAATACGCTGCTAAAGGGCCAGCATCCGAATATTGTGACGGTGCGTGAGATTGTCGTTGGTTCCAATATGGACAAAATATTTATTGTTATGGACTATGTGGAGCACGATCTCAAATCGCTGATGGAAACGATGAAGCAGCGCAAGCAGAGCTTCTTTCCGGGCGAGGTGAAATGTCTGGCCCAACAGCTGCTGCTCGCTGTCGCCCATCTGCACGACAATTGGATACTGCATCGTGACCTGAAGACCTCCAATCTKTTGCTCTCCCACAAGGGSATACTCAAGGTGGGTGATTTTGGCTTGGCACGCGAGTACGGCTCGCCTTTGAAGAAGTATACCTCCTTGGTGGTCACGCTGTGGTATCGAGCRCCAGARCTGTTGCTCTGCTCACCGGAATAYTCGACRCCCATAGACGTGTGGTCTGTAGGCTGCATTTTTGCCGAATTTTTACTAATGGCGCCGCTCTTTCCGGGCAAATCTGAAATCGATGAGCTCAATCGCATCTTTAAGGTAAGAGAATGTAGTTTAGCAATGCAATGCATTTATTATTAATTGATTCTATTCCCTTTCATAGGAACTCGGCACACCCAACGAAAAGATCTGGCCAGGGTATTCGGAGCTGCCGGCCGTTAAAAATATGCTGAGCCAGAACTCACAGTTCACGGATTATCCGGTGTCACAGCTGCGTAAACATTTCCAGGACAAAACATCAGATGCGGGACTTGGACTGCTGCAGGGCCTGCTCACATATGATCCAAAACAAAGACTGACTGCTGATGCGGCGCTTAAGCATGGCTACTTTAAGGAGCTACCCCTACCCATCGATCCATCCATGTTTCCCACTTGGCCAGCCAAGAGCGAGCTGGGCGCACGCAAGGCGCAGGCATCGTCTCCAAAGCCACCATCCGGTGGCTCGCAATTCAAGCAGCTGGGCCGTGATGAGCCYATGCCAACGGCCACAGCTGGTGGTGGAGCTGGTGCTAAGCTCGCCTCCGGGATCATCACTGGCAACAAGAAGAGCGGGGCAACGGCGGCCAGCACAGGATTTGTACTGAATGCGGGTCTGACGCAACGGCAGCTGGCAATGGGTCCCGGCTTCAGTCTGAAGTTCTGAGACCGATTTGTGTGTGGTGTGTACAACAGATTCGTAGCCAATTTGAATAATTGTTATGTATAGTTTAGCGTGTAAGATGAAAAATGAGGAAACAAAAGATATCGTTTTAATGTATGTGTACAAATATTGTTCCAAATATAATTTAAAAGCCATACAATCACACAACGCACTATAAATAATCACCATGTAAACCAGAATTGATCCATTCATTAMGRGAAAGTTCTTCCATATCATTCACCAATTGCTGATCCATCCATTAATAACTTTGTGTCCTTAGCCTAATATGGAATACTTGTTGCATGCAGAGCCTCAAGTGGACCACAGGTA